CCCCAAAACCCCAAAACCCCAAAACCCCAAAACCCCAAAACCCCAAAACCCCAAAACCCCTTACATTTTATAAAATATTGCGGAGTAATATTAACAATAAATATTAAAATGCTTAGTGATATCCATGACACTGTCAGACAAAATCTAGAGTCTTTCGGTCACAAACACACTCACCTCATGGCTGCCTTCTGTCTCTATGGAGCTTACACTGTAGGCTCAACTGCTCTAGGCTGGTCCTGGAGGTTCTTCAAAACCTTCTTGAGACCAAGCAAGAACTTGTTCAAGAGATACCATGGAGGATATGTGGTTGTAACTGGAGCAACCAATGGGCTTGGCCTTGGTTATGCAAGGAAATTTGCAGAGAAAGGATTCAACTTGGTTTTAGTAGCAAGAAATTCTGAGAAACTCAATACTGTTAAATCAGAGCTCCTTCGCTCTCATCCTGACATTGACATCAAGCTGATTCAATTTGACTTCGATAAGCCTTATACTGAGGAAGGTTATGCCTCTCTGAAGGAATCGCTAGATATGATGGGAGACATATCTGTACTTGTCAATAATGTTGGAGCTATCGGAACAAATCTGTTCGAAGATATGCCAATAGATATCATCACAAGAGTAATGAACGTAAACCTTATCCCTCAAGTAGTCATGACTAAGTTCCTCCTTCCAAGATTGCTGAGAAGATCGAAAGAGGAGGGTAAAAGAACTGCCATTTTGAGCGTCAGCTCTGCTGCTCATTATATTCGATTGCCTAAATCAACAATGTATTCCTGCACAAAGTCATTTAACAAGACTTTCTCTGATGTCATTGGAAAAGAGTACGGAAAGTATATCGATGTTATGGTGACTACTCCAGGACCTGTGATCTCTAACATGGTCAATGAGAAAGCACCCTTCGTGATCACTCCAGAGGCTCACGCCAGATGGGTTCTTAGCGATCTTGGGTACAACACTGAAACATTTGGTCACTACAGACATTGGATGTCAACCACAATGTTCAGACTTCCCCTGCTCGGCACCCAATTCATCAAGATGAGAGATAGATACCTCAATGATAAAAGTAAAAGCTCAAACTAGGGTTTCATCCACGAATCTTTCCAATCTAGATTTCTAACTAAGGGGTTTTGGGGTTTTGGGGTTTTGGGGTTTTGGGGTTTTGGGG